GAATATGATGGATTCAGTCTAACTTTGCTAATTTAGTACAGTGATCAAAGCGATTTTCGAAGAATTCCTCGGAAACTATCGTGATGGACATCTTTGCCTAATCATCATAGAAATATTTCTTAATCAGAAGAATTTAATTAATACAACAAAATTAATATCGAACCCAAAAGAGAGAAATAAAAACTAAAATTTTCTTTGTTTGATGTATCTATATTTGAAACACATGTAGGAAAAACTGTTGTAATAGTAACAAATTTTGATAGTTGACCATTATTTATCGTGAAAAAAAAGATGAACGTTGTTGACTTTCAATAATTGACCTTTGTTGTGGTGTATAAAGATTTCCAATGATTACCTAAAACAATAAAAATTTTTCGATAATTCTAATTCTACAAAATCTATCTTCACTATAAGATCAATCCAAAAGTAGGTTTCTGTTTTTTTCTATTCCTTTAATTCACCTGTCTTCGTATGATTTCAAGGTTTGTTTGTCCGAACTTCAACAATTCAGCAATCTTCGATGAATCTTGTACATTACGATTTTGACGAAATTCTTCACGTACTCGTCGAAGAAAATATTCACTAAATAAGATTAAAACAATCAAATAACATATACAGGATATATTAGGTCATAAATAGCACTACGATAAAAGAATCAAATATCTCTGCATCATTTCAATGAAATTGACTGGTTTTTTTTGGTTAATGGTAGAAATTTACTCAATTTTTTTTTCATACGAATAAAATAAGCATAAATATTATTGTTGGCATCAGAAAAGCAATTTGACTTGTTGTCAAGTAAGAAAAAAATATAAGCAGTATTTCATAGAAAATCTTCAATTGTCATCTAAAGAAAATAATAAAAGGTCAAAACGAACCTCCCGAATGATACTATATTGATATACATAAAATAAATTTTTAGAACTAGTTAATTGAAAAGTCAATCATAGCTTTCATTGGATTTTGTTTACAATAGGAAAGAGTTAAGAGAGAAAGTCTCTCAAAGCTACAGAGAAACTCGAGTGTGAATGTCAGTGTTCTTCTTCTCTTCATTCACATCCTTCACAATTGGGAAAGATTAATAATATGAACCCATTTAAAACTTCATTGCTACACTTAAAAAACCTGACTATAAGTCGCTCATGCGATCCTACGAAAATAGGATAAGTATCATGTCTGAAAATATCTAGTATAATAATATTTTATGAAAACTATTGGAAATTTATGTATTACAAGATAAAATATTCATGAGGTATCTAATCAGCTACTTGGTCAAAATATATTTAGTAAAATAACACATCCAGAACCTGCTTCTCTTTCTAATTGTATGTTAGGCTATAGCTATGCGTTTTTTTTTCTATAGGAAACAGATTTCAACATTTAAAATGACTATTTTTGAAAACTTGCTCGATATACATCAATATCATATTATGCATAAAGTTTGTTGTGACTTCTTATTATTGTTCTATTCGATGACAACTGCAAATTGTCCATACAACACTTCAGATGCATTTTTCTTTCTTAACAATTCATGATAATTTCTTTTGTGAAGTCAAAAAATATCTTTAAATAAGTTCCTACCACGAATAAACAAAACATTCCCATTCTAGCAAGCTGAAACAAAGATATATTTCAATATTTTATTGTAGTAATATATATGACCCAACATTTATATAAAATTATAAAAAGATTTACCGATAATTATAAAGTGAAAATTTATGACATTCACGAAGTAGTTGTTTATATAGAATCAAAACTGATTGTTTTGCTGAAGTCATCTAGAAAGATAATGTTCATATGAAATAACAGATCTTTCTTTTTATTCTATAACAAAATCAAAAAAAAAAGAAACAACAATAGAAATTATGTTAAACGACTAATATGTATTTCACGTTTGTTTTGTTTTTCTAATGTTTTGATTTTTCTTGTTTCTTTATATAAAACTTCTTGATCAATCCATGGATCTATATGTAAAAATTCAAGTTTATCTTGTGTTCGTTCACGTATACGCATTATTCGATGGCCAGTTGCTTGAGATTCACAATTAACAAGTAATTGCCGTCCACTTTTAGCAGCTTGCAATATAAATGATAAACGCATTCTTTATTATATCTATAGACATAAGAAAAATATTACATTATTTTTTTTAATTCTTTATTAATAATTAAAATTATCTATATATAAATCAAATTGATTTTATTTTTATCTTCTTTTACTATTGATTCAAATACATTTATTATTATTAGCAAGACAAAGAAATTGTAAAGAAGTTTATATTATTAATAGTTCTTATTTATTAGATATTCTATGTTATAACTAAACAATCTAAAATCACAATAATGAAATTGTCTTAAATAAAATCTTATAATTCAAAAAATGTCAATAGTGAATTATTCTATTAATAGACGGTTATATTTCAAATTTTTATTTTTAGACAAAAAATCTAATTTGTTTTCATATGTAATAATTTCTTGTTTAAAGTGAAAGTTAGTTTTGTAAACTTATTATATTGCATACTGAAATATATTGTTCTTCTTCTTATAGAAAAATTTGTTACAGTATATTTAATGAAGCATTACAATGCAATATTGTAGAGACTTGATCTATTTTTTTGTTAGATAAAGGAAAATGTTTACTGCAAAAAATATACAAAAGAATTCAATTGAAAATCTTTTCCGATTGTTACAGAACCTTTGGAAAAAAAAGTATTAAGAGATTCTCCTACAAATTCTAGTACCAATTTTTATCTCGGAATATATTTCTTTGACGTTTTTCATTATTGTCTTCTAGTCAAATGCATATTCATATTAATTATAATGACTGCTTTTGTGTGATAATAAAATAATTCTTTTAACATGCAAGAGACAGAACAATAAATACTTTATTGAACAAAATCAATTTGTCGTTTATGACATGCAAATAAAGTTGCTTAGTAAAAAAAACTCGATAAAGTTTCTTTTTCATATAAATATCTAATATCTAACAACTTCTCTATCAGTATCATGTAGTTTTCTTTTTTTTTTTAACTGATCAGTAGTTACAAAAATTCAGTGATACTAGAAGATGCTACAATAGTGTTCATATTCATCTTTGTCAAACACGTTGAATATTTTGCTTTTTAGTTGTATAATAGTTTCCTATTCTGACGTTATAAAACTTGGAAAAAAAAGAATAAAAACAAAAATTTTCAAAGATTTTCGTCACTTTCAGAAAACACTTCCAACTAAATTCTTTTATACATATATATATTTCTGCACTAGACATTTTACGATTGCTAACAAAAATAAATAATGATCCAGTCTCTACGATACTCCATTATAAAAAAAAAAACAAAATTAATGTAGAATCTCTATCTTATTTATGGTTTCTAAAGCCAATATGATCTGTATGAAACATTCTTTAGTTAATCATCAGTTGTTTCATTTTTCTATTACTTTCATTTCAAATCTCAAGATATTTGATCATTAAGTGTAATAAAATATTTTTATTTAAACCTCTTTTTGTTTTCATTGTGACGATTTACATACCAAACAAGAAATGTATACATTATTTCTATAATAAATGACAATACACACAATAATCCATATCTAAAAAAATGAAAGTTCTTTTTTTCTATTTATATTTTATTGTAAGAACAAAAAAGAGAATCGAATGGTCGACGATAAAAGGAAAACTAATAAAGAAAAAGAAAAGAAAACGCCAAAAAAAAAAGAAAGAGAAAAAAAATTAGGTTTTCATTTATATATATATCTTTTATCGAAACATATAAAGAAGAAGAATAATAAGACAAATAGCTATAACAAAACCAAGTACAAGTGAATCTTTACGTTTTTTAACTTTTATTTTTTGTAAAACATTATTAACCAATGGAAAACGATTTGCTATAGCATTAACTTTACTTGTTATATTTAATAAATATTTCCGTTGATCAGATAAATCTTTTTTAACCATTGATGCTATTTCAATATTTGTATCCATTAATTTATGTGAATTAGTTAAATGATTCATTTCACGTAGATAATAATCTTGTCGACGACTACTTAAACCTGTTTGTGTTACATCAGAATTATTTGTATTTGTATTAACTAAAAGATCTTCACGATTTTTAAAATTTTTTATATTAGCTTTTGTTCGTTCAAATTCACGACGATAATCTTGTAAAATTTCATGATGACGTTGTAATGTATGTGTTGCAGCTGAATTAGGTCCAAGTAATGATGGTACAACATCGGACATACGTTTATTTATATCTGATAAACGTTCAAGAAGTTTTTCAATTTCAATTGACATTGTTTCAAATGATGATGGTGTACATGTTGATGATGATGCATCATTTGGATCATGTGCAACATAATTTGAACATAATTTTGAAAATGACATTAATTTACTATCAATTTCATTTTCATGTTGACGAGCTTGTTTACGTAAATCTTCCCATTCTGTACCTGGTGCTGTAGACATTCTTGAATTTGTTGATTGTATTGTTGATGAATATGTATTACCGAATGAACGGTTCATAATAGAAATAAATATTGATTAAAGAAAAACATTAAAGTTTGTTTTTTTTTTAAATCATTACAAATTCAACAAAAATTTTTGTGTTGGATTGAAAGTAAAGGATGCATCACGTCATAGATCATCAAATGGAATAAATAATTCGATACAGGTGTAGATAATAAGCCTATCATATGATAATTTCAAAAGATGATACTATATGATATGTTTATGATCGAAATAAATAATTCTAGAGATTAAATTGATTTTCTATATTTGTTATTAAGTTAAAATGTAGATCAAATAAGATCATAGACTGGTGACATCTAGATATAAATGATAAATCGGATCTAACTGGTATTATCTCTTTTAGTTCGTTCCTTTTTTTTTCTTTCTCGATCTGGTACGTATTTATATCTTTTTCTTTCCTATCGACTATTATTATTACTTCCAGAACTTTGCATTGATATATATCACAAGTTTGATATACAGAAAGGAACATAACTATGTTCTTGTCATTACTTACAATCATTGTTATCTTTGGTACTCTTGAAAGCAAACCGATTATTATCAGAAATATTTCTGGTAAGATTAACGAAATTTAAAGGGTATACGTTATTTCAATGTATATTTATGTTCTATTATAGATTGTAGTATAACTGAAGATGGAATTCTTCATTATCAAGGTAAACATTCATTTACAAAATTTGAACATGAATGTTTACTATGGGTTGATTTTCAAGTTATCTATCCTGAAATGATAAATGAAATAAATTTTTTTAATGATCCATCAATAAAAGCAGCAAAGAATTATTGTCGTAATCCGAATATGAATATTAATGGTCCATGGTGTTTTGTTCAAAATGAAGATATTATTAGTATGGAAGCATGTGATGTATGTCAAAGTCTTGGTATGTTAATAATTAAATGAAAAAAAAAATAATTTAAATTTACATAATGTTTCTTTTAGCTTCTCGACCAACATTACCAACTAATATTGAAAATATTGAAGATGTTACTATTGTTGCTATAAATAATCATTTTTTTCAAAATATTCGTGATGAAATACAACGTTATGCAGCTTATATTCGACAAAAGTTTATGGAAATAATGAATCGTATGAGAGAAAAAATGAGACAATTAGGAGCGAGAATTTCTAATAGTTTTAATTTTAATTGACAAAAAAGCTTTTTTTTTGTGTACAAGAAATAATTATTGATATAAATTCATACATGTGCTGTTTCTTTTTTTTTGTATATTACTTATTTAATAAACAGGCTTATCATATATAAAGTTAAATAAAATGTTTAGTAGGTTATTGAAAACTATTAAATTCAGCTCAGACCAAAAGAAGAAAGAAATACTGTTCAAGAACTTAGATATAGATATTTCTCAACCGATCGGCAAATCGACGAAAGTTAAGTATATGTTAAGACAGAGTAGAGTTATAACGAATCTTCATCAGTTGAAAGAAATGTTATTAATAACCTATTTTTCTCTGATAAAACATGTCAAGAATAAGTTTGAATGCTTTTATCAGAATAGTCAATCCGCTTTATTTCAAAAAGAAAAAGAGCAATCTTAGCTTTGTCCATTACAATCCGATCGGAGAAATTCATGAATCGAAGTTTGGAAATCAACTTTCAGAGTCAATATCTCTTATAATCGTGCTATATAGAAAACCATCATACATCTACCTTGAAGAAATCTAATAGATATAAATGACTATAACATTCATATTCTTGTAGATTTCTAAAAATCTGAATATAACAAGAAAAACAAGTGTTATTTTTGAAGCTATTACTATTAATCAATTAAATATATTCCAACAAACCAGTTGAATCGATTCGAAAATTCTTCACCAGTTACTAGAGCTCATCGGTTTATTTTCAGCTCCGAAGTTAAGTTGGGTTTGAGTTCAAAAATTTTGGACCCGACGAGCTCTACCGATTACAGTTCTGAGATGGACGTAGCTGGAAATGATGAGAAAGTTTCTCTATGGAAAACCTGCGAGACTTCTGTTGCGAATTTACTTAACTTGGTTTTATGCACAATTCGATGAAATCAAGCTAAGTTAATTAAAAACTAGAGTCTCCTAGGCTTTTTTATAAAAAATACTTTTCATCTTGTTTCAGTGACACCTCCATCTCAATACATGCTGAATGAGATTTTTTTCAAGGCATCTTAGATTAACCATATTCAAACGGTATATTTTACATATTTGTCTAGTCTCATAGCATTATCCTGGTGAAGATTAGTACCAAATATATCATATATAATACATTCTTTCGATTTTTAGAGCTGTCGAATTCTATGAGAATTCTCGTTATTCAAACTTTGGACGACTGTCATTTTAAAGCTATCGTACTCAACTATAAATAATCGTTTAAATTTTATTTAGCTCGATCTGACAATATATGGGGTATTTCAATTTTTTTTATTAGAGTTATTTTCTTTGAATAAGTTCTTCTAGGATTTTGTTAAAGATTGTTGTAATCATATGAGAGAAAAATCAAAAAATTTCAGAAAAATTCTACAGAATGTACTATTTCGTTTTTAAAAATGCTACCTCAATTTGAGTCTGTTTTAAAGTGACAGTCGATGTCCTTTTTAATGCTAATTTTTTTTTCGAATAACTTCTTTGAATCAAAGTCTATAGCATTGATTTTTTTTCAGTATATCTAGAGTCATTTAACATACATCTAAGTTATAAAAATTAGCACAAGGAACATTTCTTATCTCAAGATAAACAAGTCTGAATTTTATGCAGTCACGTCGCCAGCAAATGATTTTATCCATATGAATATATACAAATTGTGCATGACATGCACTCGAATATATTTTATCATTATAATACAATGCAAAAAAATATATATCAAGAGAAACAAAGGTATAATTCAGATTATCAAACAAGATACTAAGAAAAAAGAGATAATTGAAGTAACACTTGAAAAAAAAAAGAACTATTTTCAACAATGTGTACATCAAACTAAAATCAACCAAATGCAATTAATATTCATTAGAATAAGCAGTAAATTAATAAAGATAAATAAATTAATACTTACAATAAAATCTATTTCTAATACTTAACATCGTATAAATATCGGTGTAGTTTTAGATAATGGTGTCGGTTCTTCATAAACAGGTTCATCGTCTAAAATTTATCGATTAATAGAAACGATTCATTGTTATTTATCAATCAAATAAAACAAGTTAAATATTATATCTCATTACTAATTTACCTTGTGTATTTTTCTGATTATTATATCTTGGTTGTTCCATAGTTTTAACTGATGAATATTGCTTTGAATCTATTAGAATATATCAAGATTATATAAGCATATTAATTTCATACATACTCTTCATCTTCGAACTTGAATAAATCAAATGAAAAGAAAGAAAAGAATGCAACTTCATACAATCATTTGAATTTTTGAACTTACCTTGATGAATCTAAAATAAAACAAAAGAAGAAGAAAAAAATAATATAAAATAAAACTTTTAATCATAATACCATTTTTATTACGACATAGAAGAATCATGAAAAAAATTGATAATCCTAATAGACAAATACCACCAGTGACAGAAGAAATAATAATTGCAAGTTTTTTTCCTAAGTTAACATATTAATTAAATTATTCTTTTGAAAAAAAAATCTCATCAAAAGTTCACACCAGTCATAGATTTTCTTCTTGAACGCATTTCAGATAATCGATATCCATTAAAATATTCATTATCTTGATTTCTTTCTAAATATGAATTATAATTCAATAATGGATCGAGAAGAATAGGATCTATTAGAATTACATAAATTTGTTTTTTTTTCTATTTTCAATTAAATTTTAATTACCTTTTATTATAATTAAACTCGAAAGCATTGAATTTTGTTGATTATCTGTGAATAATTCACATGTTAATACTTGTTGATTAAAAAGCGATGTTCGTCTCAATACAGTACGTTGATTAGCGCAAACAACCCATGAACCATCAAGTTCTTGTTTCTTATTTACTTCTACATCACTAAGAGTATCTCCAATTCGATTCATATGTATATTTACAGTTTGATAACCTGTTACAGATGCACAACAATATAATTCTATATTTGTTTGATCAGCAACTTCGAATCGACTTGAATTTTCATCAGCCACATCATTCAAACGTTCACATGAACCTATCGGACCATGACATATATAATTCCAATAAAATGACTGTATATCTGAGAACAAAAACAAAATTATTCAAGACAAAAATAATAATATTATATACCAGCAAGTATTATTTGATAAATAATATTTTTCGATGTACTTGTCCATGTTGATTTTTGACAAGTATAATATCCAGCATGTTTTGATTGAGCAGAGTTTGATGTTACACGTAAAATATTTTCGTGTGTTAAATAGTGAAAGTTTAAATTTAAATATAAATAATATTCATTGTCTTCTTGAATTTCTGACCATTCATTTAGTCGTCTACCAAATAAAACCGTTTCATCATGTTTACAATCAAATGAAAAAGGTTGTCCTTGTTGTACAATAATTCGTTCTATATTTTGACACCATAAGCCAGAAATAACGAGATTAATAACAAAAATATATAGCATTATTTTTCCAAATAAATAAAATAAAAATTACGCTCTAAAATTGATGAGATATTCGTTGAAAACGGTACAGAAATCTCTCTATTATAATAAAATAACGTGTACATGCCTGCTGCATAGTCCTTTGAAGGACATTTACGATGTTATGAATGAAGCGATAAAAAAAAATCGAAGACGACAGGAACGAGAGAAAAAGAAAAAGCGACACTATGCATGTTTGAAAGCTACCTATTCTTTTTCATTAGTAAAGATGATACAGGTAATATGTCTGTTTTTTTTCCTTCTTTTTCTCTTAATGTTACATTGGAATAAAGTGATTCATTTGCAGTTATTTTCAAATCGTTTACAACATATATTGTATTTAATTCTACTGTTTTCTTTGTGTCATTGGTTTTAATATGAAGTTCCAGTGTTGGAGAGAAAAAATCTTCTTAAATTTTTTGTCTTTTTTCGACTGATATAGTTGCAAGTTTGAGAGAAAAAATCATTAAGGATATGCAAGGGTTTCTTCGCGTTTCAAATACATGAAATCGATTGCATAAAACAAAAGTTTTTTTTTGTCAGTCAATTTATTATCGTAAAGCCATTGATACTGGAACCATACAAGTGTATATATATATATATTTCGATTAAGATGAAGACATTGTTCCGCATATAGCAAACTAATTTTAAGGATCATTCAGATCTTTGCCAATCGTATCTTAATGTATTGATTTTTCCACTCTTTTTAACATTCAAGAACGACGAGTAATTGGTCCATAAATTGGTTCTTTTTGAAAAGCACTTCAATAATAACTTAATTGATGCCATTTATGCTTCTATTTTCAAGAATAAACTACGATCAACTCCTAGAACCACTTTCATGAATTTCTCATAGTGTAATCAATCAATGAAGACAACCATCCTTCACACAGTAGAGTTTTTTTGAAGAAGCAATGATTAGTTCGTGTGATTACAACTGTACTTCATTGCAAAAGCATTGTCTTTCAAGGTAGAAGGAACTCATTAAGAACTACAAAATGATAGAAAAAACCTATATGACAGTAAGTTGTTTTTGAAATGTTGCGAAAGTAGAGATAGGCAAATACAATCATCATCGATTGTCATCGAACGATCAGTATAGTTGTTGATAGCATTAGTTACCAATCTTCAAACGGTATTGAGCTTATCGATGTTGAAAACAGTATGATCAGCAAGTGGGTGCAAACCCAATGATGACTGTTACATAAATCAAGAAAGAAGTCAAATAGGAACAATGAAACCGTGACTTCAATTCAATGCTTCTTATGATTTATTACTTTTAGTTTTCAAGAGAATATGATGTGCACTGGTGATAATGCTGAGAAAAAAAAATATTGTTATTTCAATTGAAGTTGTGATCAATTCCAACAGGTAAATGTACGCAATGCAACATATTGACGCTTGTTCTCTTTTGTAGTCGATGTTGCAATTGTAGAGCACGCATAATTCTTGCAACAATGTCTATTGGTGAAGAGAATGATAATGAGATGTTCATTTGACTTCATATCGATATAGCTGGCGAATCTCAATGTTGCACAAGACATAGGGTAGATTTACTAGGCAAAATGATATGAACATGCATCAAGTGTTATGGTACGATAGCCACTAATGACTATGCATCATAATTTCGATGACTGTCTACGTATGAATGATGCTCATTATACGAAATATATCGGCTACTTTTACTCCAGCTCAACATACTCATACTGTTTCTTATATAACTCTAACTATATTAACAAATCCAGTAATGAGATTAATGAAATTTGTTTTATTGTGTCTTTTAATGAAAATGAAGCAGGGTTCAATTTATTCAATTTTAGCTTTTCGGATCAACAGAGACGACAAATGCTAGTAGAATGTCTCATTTCTAGTGGTCGAATCATGCTTGCTTAACATTTCGTTTTGCATTATTTGCATTTGAATTATTTGACGTGATAGAATGTCGTCGATAAACATATCTCCCTGATCCTTAGTCACTTACTCATTGAGAGTCAGCATAAATCTATTTTCGTACTCAATAGAACATATTTTTGTAATATTGGTAACACACGTGAGAAACTTCACTTTTTAAACGATAGTCTACTTTAAAATGTGTACAAGAGCTAAAATAATTCAGTCCAGCACTAGATATTCAATCAATATCAGAAGTGACCGTTCATCAAGCTCATGTTCATGGTAATAACAATGGACTACATTGTCACCATTTTTCGACCGTTTTTCTAAGGCTACCATAGAAATAATAAGGCATCTATTTTTAAACATATTATTTTTAATGATGATGAGAATATCTTTATCTTCACCGAAGAAAGGAACACTACCGTGGTAAATAGAAAATTTCAAGATTCTTTCGACGCTACTATGCTTTCATTTCTTAGGAAAAGTCAGTAAGAATTCAATGTGTGAAGCCAATAAATCTGACTTTATCATGAAAGTATACTGTGTGATTGAAAATGTTCACGCGCGACTTCAGAAATTCAGACGTTGAATGCTACATCATTTGATAATATATTCTGGCGTATCATTCGTCTACTGATACTAGCCAATCCCTTTGCAATTATTTGGTGTGACCTAATCGTTAGGCAAATTACCAATATTAACAATCCGTCTCGAATATTTGATGTTGTGTCTCTTGATTACATGAATTCCTTCAGAAATTGATAATGGCGTATTTTTTGTTAGGTGCCTATCAACTGAAGATTGTGCAAAGTTATGCCAAAGAGCATCACCGAAGTCACAGGTTCGGATGTTGGCTTTTCAATCAAAGAATGTACTTTTCAAGTAGTTAGCTGTTGCTTACATGTCATTGTAACGTTTTAGTCCCTCGACTATAAGCGGTACTCAAAACGGGCTAATCGACAACCGTCTGCAGTTACCATTATAGGTATTATATCACTCTGAAGAGATGCGTTTTTCAGTTGTTTGAAACACAAGAAAATCTAACTTGCTTACTTAAAACGATTATTTTCCAAGAGAGTCGCCATAAATATTTTTTTCTGTTTAGAGAGCAGTTTTGGTCACATGCATGCTTTAATCTCAAATTCCTTGTTATTTCATAAAATATTCATTATTTAGAATATAAAAATGACACTTACATAGAACAATCGAATTACCTGTTTTCAGTTATATTTGGCAATGGAATGACAGCTATTTTATTACTAATGACACATTAAAAAAATAGGGATGAGTGTGACTTGCACGTGAACGTGTATGCTGTGTCTCTAGCTGTGAATCTTTTATTTACCTACAGTCATTTGCCATTATTCAACACTTCAATATTATAAGAATACCTTCTCAGGTAATAAAATGTATTACCTTTTTTCGAAAACGCGTTCTTGCTCGTTCATTTCTTTGTATTGTTTTATATGGAAAACACGAAAAATCTATGGCAAAAAGCATTACATTTTTAAAAAGCCAATTGTGCTGTTAAAACAACGTTGAATTTTTTCATCGTACAAGAAATTATTTTAATAATCTCAAAATTAGGCTAAATGTTAATGATGTCAGATATTTCGAGACAATTAAGGCTAACTGGTTTTTTACTGTTGATCAACTATTTATGTGTTGTCTAATTCGAGTTCTAACGTAAATGAAGATTGAAGAATCATACATCAATTGGAAAATAAATGAAAAAAAAAGTCGAAGAGGCACTAACTGGTAAACCTTATTGACTTTTTTTTTCTATAACTATAATTATGATAATTCAAATTTCCGTTTAGATGGACACTTTGCTACAAAATAGTAATCTTATAACTAAATATTGAGAAAATGGACACTAAATACAACCTTGCGTTGGACTCAACACGCCTATCTTGGCACAATAGTTGAAACATACTACAATCAATAAATTTCATTTTCAAGTTTTATGATATTGGAAAAGAATGCATGTTTGAATTCGAAGTATCATAATTATATTTATAGAACGATTGTTTTAAATGTTTCTGGCGAAGTACCTACTTCGACTTTACAAATCGAATGAGACATCTACCTCTACTATCAGTATAAGAAGCTGTAGAAATGTGTCAGTATATACACATAAGTTTCGTTTAATATAAATAGATAATTTTTAAATTAAGAAATAAGTACGTTTAATTCCGTAGTATATTGACTGCTTCATGATTATAGCTTATTTGGTTGAAACAACAAAAATCTAGCCGCAACGTGTTCCTAAAATTCCAGATTACGTTTCACCGACACTTGAGAACAAACACGAATCAGAGAAGCAAAATGTTCGGAAACGTGATAGATTTGCAGATCAACTTTTTCTTGTTAAACGTAGTAATGCGTTCTTATCTGCTTTTTTTCACATGGCTAGTATCTGTCTACTGCTTTCTATTCGGATTTTCGAATCAACAGTATACTCTCATAACTTCGTGTTTTCTATCATTCTGTAGTTCTCATTGGAATTTTATCTACCTTGGAAAAATGGTCCCTTTACAATAAAGTATATTTGAAATCACAAGAACCACATGATTGTTTATGCGGAAGAAATCTACTATTGGAGGAAGAGGAACGGACTCATTGATTAATTACATAATGAGAAATCGGTCTTATGAGTTGAGCGTAGTTTATTGTTGAAAAGATAAGTATGAATGATATAGAATAAGTGATTATCGAAGTGCTTTTTTAAAAAGGACCAATTTCTGGGCCAGTCATTCTCCGTCCTTGATTCGTTATGATCAATAAATCACAATTTAAAAAGTACTGATAATGAAACAACATCACACAGTTTATTGAGGATTCTTATTCTTATTCATCAAGTTACATATATTCTTAATAAACATATCTCAAATCTAAATCTGAAAATATAAATTTGCATTGTTCATTCTCGTCCTAGTGGGATATGGTGGCGGCAACTCTTCCATAATATGATGAGTTCTATTCATTTGATTTCGATTATAAATAACTAGTACAAAAATTAAAGCAGTCATCTAAATAAAAAAAACATATATAAAAAACATTAAATCTTGATCAGCTTGATTTTACCTCGATCATAATAATAAATGCAATAATAATAAAAATTGTACTTTGACTTGAATGAAATGTATCAACAAGTTTTTTATAACAACCCTAAAAATTCAAAGAATAAAAAAAAAGTCATCTTCGAATTCTATCAAAATTTATACTTACAATTTCATAAATATCATTTCCATGAAGAGCACATGAAATAACTTTCTGAGATAATTGCCAATCTCTATTCGAAATAGTATTTATTGAGCAACATGTTAATGGATATTTAAAATTTCTATTCTCCATTGACATTGAATTAGTCCACCATGGATTTGTTCGATTCCAGTTATTTGTTACATTGAAATCATTTTTACTTTCTATACCACAGCATTTTAACTTCAAAACAAAACTATATCATTAAGATCTAAACTAAAAATTAATAAAGAAATGATTTCACCTGATACATAATCAAATCCCATAGATATGATGTTAATTGAAGATTTTTCTCAAGTGGTCCTTTGTATTTATCACGAATTAATAAACGTATTATGGATATAAATTGTTCTTTCATTTTAGATGGAAAAACAATGAAACAAATTATTATTATCATTTGAAACGTTAAATTTATTCCAATAGTAAAAGAATACTAAAACATTAAAAATCTTTTCGATGATCACAGTTAGCAAGCATCTTAAAAAAACTGTTTGTGTGACTGAAAGAATTCAATATCAAGATTTGTAGTCTCAAATATTCCAATAAAACTTCTAGGATGAGAATCTTTGGAAAGCTAAGATTCCTAAAACTAGCTTTTTGACTTCCATTCGAAACTTTTGGGAACAGGTTTTAATTGATAGAATCAAATGAGACACTTTCAACCTCTCTATGACGTTCCTTTATTGAATAACACTTAATTTACAGGAGGCTAAGAAAGGATTTTTCTCATCCTTTTATTAAAAGTTGAAATGGGTTTGCTCTGTTTGACGCTTGGGGACCTTCCGTAAATAGAACACATTTCGATGAAAAAAGGTCATAAAGAGGTCGAAGACATCTCATTTTGCTTAGCACTTATTGCTCTATCAAATAAAATCTTTTTCCAAAAGCTCCGAGTGGCTGTCAGAAAGCTGGCTTTAGAAGTTTTAGTTTTCCATAGATCCACATTCAATCAGTTTTGTTGGAACCTTCGTGTCTGTCAATCCTAATAGAGAACTTTTTTCGTTACACAAATGTTTATTTTTCTTAGATACTTGTTAACTACTACCATTGAGAAGAAATCTAAAAAATACAACTACTCTAAACTTATGTCCGTCGTTATATACTTACACAAAATAAAAGACATTGTATTTGAGTTATTGCACCAGAACAACCCAAGAATCCAATTGACAGAAGTATAAAACCGGGAATAATCATAATTATATACAAAATTTCATCGAATACAACATTATTCTTTGCATTATTTGAACCTATAAATAATATGGTATGGATTCAATTTCGTTCTATAGTTAAATTATTTAGTAACACACTTTGAACACTTGATATAAATTCTGTAAAATTGTGAAAATGTCCACTAAATAAAAGATCAATACCTTCGCCTAATAAAGTTGCACCGATCAACTAGATAAATAATTCTATTCAAATTCAAATTCAAAACAATAGACTTGTTAAACTTACAAATAGTATCACATTAACTACTATCATTATTAAACGAACAGTTTTCAATTGGTAATTCATACCACCATGACCCATCTTAATAATCTAAAATTAATTTTTGGAGTCTTGTTTTTTTCTCAGATTTCTTTGTTATTATTTTAAATAAAACAATCTTGAAAGATGCATTATTTGTTTGAAATAACAAATATACAATAAATAATGGTATCATTCACATTTTTTTTTATTTATTTTAGTCATGCTTCTAGATAAAACACTATACTTTGCCTTAAAAAATTAGCTATTCAAATCTATGCAGAGTCGTGCTAGAGCATTAATTTTAACCATAAAAGTCATCATGAGAATTGAACAGCATCTAGCTTCTCTAATATCTACCTATTTCTAGCATACGGCAACTCTAATTCGAGTATTTGTGAGTTGATGGCTGCACTTGTAAATCTTTAAGAATCAATGATCCTCTCATACAATGATATCTAAAGAAAGCTCAGCTATTCTTATGAAAGTTTGCGATAACTATCATCTTAAACCAATAATCTTAAAGATTCAGGAAATTTGATGGAAGACGATCAGAATAGGATATTCTCATGATAAGTTTCCATTCATTCGCAAGGGAAATGAAACCCTCATAATAGAAGTTTTAGTTTACACTCAGTGAAAAATGAATATTTTCACTAAATATAATATTTCTCACGTCTGTGTCATAATGTTCTATGGAAATGTTCGTCAGAACCCATCTAGAAAAAGAGCTGTGCCTATTATCATAATAAATTTTCTATATCATATTTCGTCCGTTGAAAACAAAATAACAAAGTATTGAAAATCGTTAAATCCAATGTTCTCGTGTGGATTTTATAGAGAATCGAACAGCTTATCATTTGACATCAATTGTAATTTTCTACCTATAAATGTGGATGACGCGAAAAGGAAAATATGAATCATATCATTACTTATGGCAAACCTATCAAAAAGAAAAGAAGACAAGCACGTATTCATTTTACTTGGAGATTATTTCTCTTCAAACAGCAAATTCTTTCTCTCGAGATAAAGAATGAGTATCATGCATGCATGAAAAAAAATAATGTAAGGATTATTAAAACTTTCATATTATGTTAATGTTAAATCATGTGTTAAATCTATAAAGACGTTCAAATTCAAATATTAAAAAAAAATTAGTCATTTTTGTAGAATATAACAAGTTGAAAATTAAAATGATGACACATCATTTCTACTTGATATATATTATTATGATGTTTGTTAGAATTTTCAATCAAATTTTTCATATCTATGTTTCATAAACATAATAAAGATTGTCAGTAATAGTTTTTTGAAATAAATTTAATGACGCAAATTATTTTTCCCCAGAGAAATTACGTTGTTTTTGTTAGACGACAATCTTGATTTATTGCAAATGCATGTAAATTCAATTTACTTACAGATATTTTTGTTTTGTTCGTCTTTACATAAACTTTCGATGTACTAAGGAAAAAAATTCATAACCAACTAAATATGTTTCATAGATAAAAAACTGGCAAAGAATAAGTTAATGATAACATTCTCTATCACGCTTGTTGTTTTTATTAAAAACACAAAAAAGCACTTTTATTACAATAAAACATTATCTTTTCACTATACTTAATCTATATAGCTGACTAATTCATAATGATTGATTCGTCCTACTTGCATACTTTTCTTTCTAGTAGAAAGATAAATTTTCCCACTGATAAGAAATAAATTCATTGTGCATATTTTATCTGTTATCTTATTTGATAGTAATTATTTAGAATAAAAAAAATATTGCATTTTTTTTGCTTGCGATTATCATAATGTGAACCTTGAATTTCCACCGAAAGTGTATAAGTGATCCTATACAGATTAGCAAAACATGTGTAAATAAAAAATTTCTCGTGGTCATTATTATTCTATATTTAGAAAGGTGAGAGTGTTTTGCTGTAGTTCAGCGTACATTGTTGTCATTAAATTATTTTATGAACTAATTTAGAATTCAAGTCATGAATTGAATAAAGAAAAATGTTTTGTTTTGTAGCACTAAAAAGATTTGAACTGTTTATTTTCAATTTCTTAGAAAGAAAATGTTAGTTCGTTACGATTAACTACATCTATCGAATTTTAATAAAAAAATACAAATGTCAAGTTAAACCAAGAAGTATCTTTTCTTTTCCTTATACGAATTGCTCAGGGGTGTTCCGAGGTCGCCAAGATTGGGGGAGGGGATCATCTAGAAAGTTGATTCACAACTTTTCTAAAAGAGACCTGATTTTGGGAGGGGGGGTCAAGATTGTTTTGAGATTTAATGAGCAAAAAAAACGAAAAAATGTTGAAATTTTGCTGAGAAAAAAAGAAAATATTTCAACATTAGGGGTGGGTCACCCTCCTACGCCCCCCCCCCCCCCCCCCCCCTGGTCGGAACACCCATGGCTTTGCTAGTAGATCTTGTATTCTTAAAAAATTTCACAACGATTTAAGTATTGAAAGTTAATCAGAAGCAAAGAAGAAGACTTGTATTGACATTGAGTTTTAACAAAGTTTTTTGCAAACATGTTACAACAAACTTCAAAAGATGATGAAACATTGTTTATTTTATTATTCATGGTTGGCATGTAGACACAGCAGTCGTTTGACTTGATGTATCGAGAAGATAATCACCTTTATTTTACTATTCCCGTGGTGATCTTTGAAGCAGACATAGTCTGCATTACTACATCATTGTCAATTTTCCCAGCATCGAACAGAATATTCCTACAGGAGTCCATAGCGGTTTTTTTTCATTATTAGCATAAAACGTAGACTAGCTTGATAACTAAAACGCAAGAACCTTTCTTGTTGAAATGATCAGATTATTAAGTACAAACGTTTAATGTATGGATAGAGAAAACTCATGCCACGTTTTCACATTTTTACAAAAAAATAAATCATGACATAAGAATCTAGAAATCTTTCAAAATAATTACAAATTATAATAACTTATTCAATAATTGTAAATCAACTCTTTCGTTGTAATTTTGAAGATTTACTGACATTTTTCAGAATTCTAATATGAAATATTTAATCACGAAAAAATATCAATATAGATAGGATGCAAACCAAACGGCATGAATCAATGAAAAAACAACATGTGGCTCATTAATAAAGTTTCATAAATAAAAAAAAAAAATATATATCACAAGTATTGTACCCAGCAGAAAAGCAATCATTAACAAGTAGATGTTATCTATGTCAGAGAATTCGATGATAAAATAACGACGACAGCTGTTTGGTCATTAATAGATAAAAGGTACCGGAACATGATTTTACTTTTTAACAATTTATCAAAATGAACCATATTTACATTAATATAAATCAATATTACTTCTCTAATTAGTATCACATCTTTTTTTATCAATATGAAATATTTATTATAATCGATATATCGATGAAATTGTTTTTAAAAATAAACACATCAAGACAAAATCTGAACATAATCAAATCATATCGTAACCCCGTTATTTCAATCAAAAATTTGATAAGAAAATACACTAAACTATTTTTCAGATCATATCAATTCATTTTCATATTTAAAGTCTCACAAAACTATAAGTAAAAAATAATCATGATGTGCGCCCTCTGATGCATTATTATTCCTTGTTATATTTCTAGTCTAGAAAAGCCAATAACACAGAAACGAATGAATCATCAATTTTGAAATAAAATTAATTATTTATTTGTTCGTTCAGTTTGATATATTTTAGTTAATAAATTGAAGAATAAAAACTTGTCGTTTAATACCTCGATTATTTTTTGCTATACATGTCACTGTTCGATTTGATTCATATGAATTATTTTCATTTGTTGCTATTATATATTCAATTTTATCAGAAAGTATTTCTTCGTTCGTCAATATTTTAACATCTCCTAATAACCATTGATAAGTAGGCATAGGATTTCCATTTAATGAACAACGTATAAGATTTTCAATATTTTTTTTAATCGATAAAAAAACATATTCATTTTTATAAGGTTCTACATATTCAGGTGAACCTAATCAATAATTTTTTATATAATGAGTATTATTGAATAGCTTTTTAATAATCTTACCATAAACATCGAGATATAAATTAGATGTTAATGAATAACTATGATTATCATCATTAGTTGTTACATGACAAGTATAAATTCCAGAATGAATATTTGAAATATGTTTAATTCGTAAATAATCATAACCATTTAATGATGACATATCTTCTAGAGAATTATTCGGTATAAGAAATGTATACCAAGCTGGTAATGCTGAAAATATTGGACAAAGTAATGTTATTGTATCATTTATTTCAGAATAAATATATTTTTCTCGATTAGATATTTGACGTGGACCACCACCAACTAATAAAAATCTATATGAAAATAGAGATTTTTAAATTAAAATAACTTTACCACTAAGAAAATATACTCGAACACCAACAAGACCATTATGTAATCGAACTATACATTCATAATAACCTTCATTTTCATGTTTAACATTTTGAAATTGTATATAATTTGAATGTTGTCGTATACGTTCATAATGTTGAACAAAATCAATATGAAAATCAGCTATATCTTCTTTTGTATAAGTTATATTTTCATCGGGACCACAATATCTTTCTGTATAATTAATATCAGTATCAATAAGTATTCGATCATAACCTTCAAAACGATAATCAATTAGTTCAGTAGCTAAAACAAAAGAGTTCATAAGATTTTTTTTTTTTCTTCATTCAACATCTTTAAAATTTACGATCATTAGTTATAAAAAAATGTTTTTCATCAATAATTATTTCATTTTCATCTTTTAATTGACAAATTGCAATTCCTTCGTTATTTATTAGAAAAGAATCTATGATTAAATTAGCATTATTAATTACATTCATTTGACCATCATGATTATATAATATCCATGATATATGTTCACTACTTGTTAATGGTCTATTTGTCTCACATTTTTGTTCGAATCGTGAACCTATTTGTACGAATTGTTTTGGTTTTAGTTTCCAAATAATAAGTTCTATATGAAGAAAAAAAACAAGCAAAAATGTTTTGTTTTTCTAGATGTTTAATTGATGAGAACTATTTTTTTTGTCTTTGCTTATTTCAATGTCACGAAAACGAACTATTTCATCAACATCAAATAAACCATCGTATCTTAATTTTGATCATGAATCATATGGTTGGAAAGCAAATATTGATTATCGTGAACATCCTGAACTCTATCGAATAGGTCGTGGTGAACAAGGTGTTTTAATTTGTCAACCATATAAAAATGAAATATGTCCACATTGGCGTTTTAAAACTATTGAACAAGCTATTCAATCATCAGATAAAATTTATGAACTTTTTTTAAATTATCTTCATCAAAATGATTTTGTTGGAGCTGATATGGCTCGAAAATATCTACAAATGGGCTTTACTCGGTCAAGACGTTATGCTAATCATACTAGTGGAAGAAAATATGATAAAAAAACTTTTGATATATTACCACAAGAAGAAACTCATATGAACAATGAAAAAGCTCAATCAGCAAATATTTTTAAAGAAAAATGGTTTGAAGCGAAAAATAATGAATTATATAAAGAAATGGCTAATAAACATCGAACTATGTACGAAAAAAATCAACAAGAAACTCAACGAAAGATTAATAATAAAAAATAGAACCGATCAAATTTGTTTTGTAAAATAGTTCTTTGAAAATATTGTATATTTTTCTTTATTTAAACTATTTTTTTTCGAATAAATAGACCTATAAATATTTCTGAAAAAAAACCTTAAAACTTTGATCATGTAGTTTTAAATAAAGGTCATATAAACTTGTATTTTTCTTTAGTTATAAAGAGACACGTGCAAATATTTGTTTGCAAATTTGTTATGCATACAATGTAAAACAAACCAGATCTTCCGGAATAAAAAATAATTGATGATAAAATCAAATAAAATACAATATACTAGACTATTTCATAAGAATTAATTTTTTTTTTATGACAGTAAACGGAACATTATATTTACAATGGCAAAGTTTTCAAAGAAAAAAACTTTTATCAATTCTGTTGTACTATCGAAGAGTCAATTTTGATTTACCTGCAACAATAAAAGTAATGCAAATAGTCATATAGATAAAGATGACGACGGTTTTCATGATGCTTTGATTATAAAATTTTGGTTTTTTTGGTTTCGTAAAAATACTATTTTTGATTTGCCGCCAGTATCACATTTCATTCTTTTATTTGCTTTCTTTCAAAAATCATATTAAGAAATTAACAAATAAAAAAATAAAATGAAAAGTATATATACTGAAGTTTTTTTTCGTAAAATAATGTTTTGCAAAGTAAAAGAAAATTAGAAGAGAAATGATATGAATAGATGCTCAACAATAGCAAAAGAAAACGATATTCATTAGATTGAGACAATAGTTGTAAAATATTGAGAATATTTTCTTGAACGCGTGTAGTAACAATAAAAGATAGTGTTCTAAATGATAAGGTAGAACAACAGAGATTTTTAAATAGATAAACATATCATGAAAATATATCTGAATATCTTTCATACAAGCTTACAAGATTTAAAGTAAAACACACAACAAGAAAAATAAATGTCTAAATAAATAATATAATATATCGTATATATTGTTTTATTCAATAAGGCTATTGTTAAGATGAATAATGGTCCGGTTTACGTTTACGACAACATAAAGCCAAAGCAACAATGAATGCAATTAACTAAAACAAATGAATATTTAAAAAAAATATATTTCTATCAAAACGAATAATTACTTCAATGACGAGAATGACAACAGCACCCACAATAATCCATGTCTTAGCAGTGTCAATTAAATTCATAAATTTATCATAACATCCCTAGAAAAAAAAATATATATAAACTTTTATCTAGCAGCATACAATCAAACAAACTGACCACTTCATATATATTAGTGCCATTAATAGCACAATAAGCAGCTGATTCTAATTTATCAAAGGGTAAATTATTCCAATCTCCTGTAAAAGAACTAATAGGACAACATGTTATTGGGTATGTAAAGTTTCGAGTATTATTTGCCATGGATGCATTCCACCATGAATTTGTCCGATTCCATTTTGGTACATCATTAATAAAATCAGATTTATTATAAACACCACAACATTGAAACTAGAAAAAAACAAAAAGGTAAAAGACATAATGTTTAAATTAAATTTAGTTCTTCAAAAGTACGTACATTAAACATAATAAAATCCCAAGCTATTGAGATTGCTGATGGTTTTGGTAGAGTACTACCAGTTTGTAATCCAAATGGACCTTCATATGTACTACGAACTGCATCTTTTAATTTTGGTTTAATAGTTTCTTCAAATTTAGATTTAAAAGCAACAAAATAAATTGTTATAGCGATTTCAAAAAGTATTATTATTCCAATAATAATAGCATACTAAAATTTGAAAAATTCATAAGACATAAAGAAAAATTTTCACTTACAATTATTAAAAATACTTTCACTTGTTTCACAGCACCACAACATCCAAGAAATCCAATAATTAAAAGAATAGAACCAAGAATAATAATAACAATTGCCATAACTTCAAGATATGATAAACCTGTTTCGACTCCAGGATCTAAGTAACAAACAAAAACAATAAAATAATTTTATGTTTTTTTTTCTTTGTTTCGAAATCTACTAGAATTAATTGGAAAAATTTCTTTTATTTTTTTAAGTGATGGGTCAACCATAATATAAATTCCAACCGCTAATAACGCAAGACCAATTAACTAATAATAAAATTCAAATAAATGGTGTTTTAAAGACATAAAGTATTCAATAAACTTACAAAAAAGATCAAATTCAACACTACAATCAAAAAACGCATTGTCTTCATTCCACAACTCATTCCACCGTGACCCATCTTTGTTTGTAATAATACTTTTCAATATCTACGTATGTAATCTAGAGAAAATAAAAAATAAAAAAATAAAAATCTCAAATGAATCTTGTTTTTCAACAAGTAAATTATATAATAAAATAAAAGAATATGAATGATCAAAAAAAAAACATACAACAACATAGTAGTTGTGATGTTTTGACTAATATATATTGACTTTCATATTCCTCACAGACAAAAAGAATAATTTTTTTTTCTCTTACATCTAGAAAAAAAGAGGAAAAAAGACTTCTACTAAGAACTTTCTCTCTCTTCTTTTTTTTTCACGGATGTCATTAAACGAGTTTTGAAGGTACACTAAGTAACTAGTGTCGTAATCAGAGAAAAACTCAATTTCCTCTAGGAATGTTTGATTTCCCATAGAAAATTTGAAAACCATATGAGTAGTACTGTCATGTACTACTTTCAGTTCTAGAATTCTTTTTCTGGTTATACAACTACATCACTAACAAAAAATTTGTACTATATCAGGAAGAACGAATAGGTGACAAAAAAATACGCCTACATAACGTATATATTTGACAAGAATAATAACATTATATGGTTGTTGTCGATATGAAGAAGAAAGAACAGTTCCATAGGAAACTATTAACGCTTAAAAAAAAGTTTTATCACATATGACTCTCATGTTGTGCATGACATAAATCCAAAAGAAAAAATGAAGAACTAAGCAAATTAATCATTTTATTTTATCGGAGAGTACTTTTTTCTTAAGTGTTTTGGTTTGGACGTAATATTTAACACATTCACCATGATTCAAATTCCATAGAAACTAACATCTTTAAATACGTTTTATTAGAAAACAAAACACACCACAAGATGCAACATGAAAAGCTCTACAATCTACATCATAAAACTTATTTCAATTGTGTACTTTTTGTTTTCAAAATAAACTAAAATTGTGTGTGACCAATTTTTGAGGTTGCGAAAATTGATTGCACAGAATTTTACTTTTTTCGAAAACAAACAATAAACTTTACGATGTAGATTGTAGAGCGCTTCACACTGCATCTTGTGCTATATTTTGTTTTTTCTTACGAAATAATATTAGGTGATAAAAAGATGCAACAAGAAAAATGAAATTTCACATTCGTGCAGAAAAAATGACCGTTTCGCAACTTTGAGAACTAGTTACGCACAGTTTTATTTTCTTTGAGAACAAAAATTACACCATTAAAATAAGCTTTACTATGGGGATTGTAGAGCTTTTCACGCTGAATCTTACGGTATATGTTGCTTTTTTAATAAAACGTATTTAGAGATTAAAATATGAAATGCAAAGTGGGGTCCACCGGTGGACCCCATCGTGGTGAATGTGTTAATAGTCTTCACCTGTATATCATAGAGAAAAGAATCGTACTCTTTTTTTTCTTCAAGCTACTAGATTATCGCAGTATAAATGTCTTCGCATTTATAGTAGTTGAATGCATCATACTAATAATGAACAGTAAAGTTCAGTAAATATTTGTCAATTTTTATTTTCTAACAGACGACTTATGGTTTTCAGAATAAACTTTGTTGTTTTTGGCTAATAATTCTACTGAAATTTCTCCATGACATCATCACAAGCAAACATAGTCTTTAAAATCAATTTAGATTGATTGTTATAAAGTGTGTGAAGTATTGTTTTTGACTTTAAAATATCAATAGACTAGTAAAGAGCTATTTATCTGATTTCATCGTTGACTGTGAAAAAATGATCGATATGAAATGTGTCATAAGAGTAGATAAATACTACATCTATCATATTCTCATTTGATTATAGTGAATTGACATGTTTTTCTCTATGCTTATGCTACTTTCTTAAAGCAAAAATAATACAATATCGAAAGAAAACGCAAAAAATATAATAAAAAACCAAACGATAAATTCGTATAAAACATATAATTCATGCCTACTTCATAGATTTGACATTATTCTCTTCATAAATACACTATATACACCGTCGATATTAGTAAAGAATTAGAATATGAGTAGTATTTATATTTCTATGTGTGTGAAAGAATGTTTTGATATATTTCATGCAATAAGCAGAATTTTAATATTTATTTTAAGAAATAAAAGTCAATAATATGACACAAAATACTACTTTTTTCCTTATCTGTAAACTATATATAAATATATTCTCGGATTAGAACTGGATCGATCATCAAAACTCAACAAATTACAATAGGTACTTTTAGTTTCTTTCTCTACCTACTAGATGATATCAAGATCCATAAAGATCTGTGTTTAGATTTTCATAGAATATTTAGGATTCGAAAAAGAAAATCAAATAACACTACAGGCTTGTATATTTGATTATGTGCACGTATATTTGACATTTTCCTTTTTTTTCTTTCTTCTTCTCGCATAAATCATTATACAGCTTTTCAAACAGACTGTTATAATTATTACAAATTTTTTTTCTTCCGTTATTACCAGTGCTGGGCTGTTCAAGAAAAAAGAAAATAAATGCGAGACACCAGAGAAAACCGGTGCGCAATGAGAACGATAAAAAAAAGGAAGAAATAGAGGTAATGGCACCGGCTAGTTATACTAAAAACTTATATGAAAGAAGAAAAGATGGCGTTATTTTATTAAACTGTCATTCATGTTCATATATTTTACAATAATAAAAATGATGATAATAAATGAAGATGTTATTTTAAAAAACCTATCATTGATTATTTGCACAAGAAGATTATTTAAAATAAAAAACAAACGAGACTCAAATTTGAAATGATATAAAACCAAGAGGAAAAAAATAGATATCAACGATATGTTTTTATACAATGCTAAAGCTATGTGTACCAAGTCACTAAAGTCTAGTTCAAAGTCGATCTATTCTATGCCTATAAAATATCTATGCCAATGAAGTTATCATGATAAATGAATGCAAACATTTGGTATTCGATAGTTTAGTCTAGGAAAACTTTATGACTTTCGACACATGATAATGAGGCAAGAAAAAGTCATTTGTAACTTGAGAATAATATAGTCATAATCTTTTTTTTTCTTCAAAACAAAGTTCAATTGTGACTTGTAACATAATATTTCATCCGTTTTTATATTCTCAAAGAACCAAATATTATTCCTTTTTGTTAGCCATATATAAAAACTACAGAGAATTCTATGCATGTAATATGTCTTTACGTGCTTGGTTAACACCCCTGTATGATATGTCTTATATTTAACCAACAGAAAACTAAAGTCAAATTATATTTTATTGAAGAGAAGATCAGATTTTAATGTTCAATATAAAGAACAAGCTTTTTTGCGTGATCCATAGCTGTTTGACTATTATCAAGAACGTTCCAGAAATTGTCATAAAGGAAAAAATACATAGTAAGTGATGATGTTTGCTAAGACATTAAATAGACTAATTTTAAAAATTTCTTTTTCTTTTAAAACACTCACTCTCTTGATTGCTTTTTCCTCTTTTTTTCAAGTTTCACTCGTAGTAAATTCCATTTTTTTTTCTTTTTTTTTGTTGTTTTTGTCGAGTGTGGAATGCAACAATACTTGGGCGAGAAAATTAAATATTTTTACTAAAAAACAAAGAAGCTGAACATTTGTTCTTCTTTTATTTCTTTGATAACACTTTTTTCTTATTATTTTACATAGTTACAGTTGCTGGTCGAATCTTTTTTCTTTTATTATGGGCAGTGCTGCATCAAAAGGCCGAACTAAACGTGTTCGTGATTGGCTTTTACAAACATTAGATGAACATGAAAGTGCTATCAATTGTATGACGTTAAGTACTGATGGCAGTGTTCTGGCTACAGGTTCTGATGATCATAATATCCGTTTATGGAGTGCTAAAACAACACCAGTTGAATGTCTTAGTGTATTAATTGGTCATGTTGATTATATTACATGTATTCTTATTGATGAAAACTTTTTAGTTAGTGCCAGTGCTGATCGTACAATTAGAAAATGGGATATAACAAATGGAGAATGTGTATTTGTTTATTCAGGTCATACATCACTTGTCAATCGAATTGTTTGTACTGGTAAGTTGAACCATATTTTTTAAGATTGAATTAAAACAATAATCAAATGAAAATAAGCAGAAAAATAAAATTCAAGAACTTTTTACTGAAATACCTATAAAAAGAAAAAGTTGAGAAGTAAAAAATGAGTTTTTTTTTCAGTATCTATTCACACTTTCATTTCTAGGTCTAATGAGATTTTTATGATATGCAAAAAGAACATAATAAGAAAATTTCTTTCTTTTTTCATTTCAATAAACAACAAAGATCATTCAACATATGGAGGTTTCTTTTTTTTGTTACGTCACGCTATTTCATCTCCTTGGAAAAAAAATATAAATTTTAATTTTCTAGAGTTTTATATAAAGAAAAAAAAACACGAAGAAACTATTCGATACTGTTCTTTTAGGAGATTTTCTCTTTTCAACATCATATGATCGTACAGTTCGATGTTGGGATTTTGATACTGGTGCTTGTGTACGTGTATTTCGTGGTCATAAACATGGAATATTACCAATATTATTTATTCCAGCTGAACGTAGTGGTGGCGGTAGTGGTGGTGGTGGAGATGATGATATTGAAGAAGATATGGATATCTATGCAAAAGATATAATTATAACGGGTTCACAAGATACAACGGCTAAAACATGGTCATTTGAAACTGGTGAATGTTTAAAAACATTTCGTGGTCATACAGGAGCAATACTTTGTATGGCAACGGATAGACTTGGTAAAATTTTATTTACAGGATCCGGTGATAATACAATTCGTGCGTGGGATATTTATCGTGGAATAGAATTACATATTTATGATCAACATCAAGCAGCAATTATAAATCTTCTTGTAAGAAGAATAAAATGAAATTGAATAGAAAATATAGAATTTTCTTCTTATTTTTAGTGCATAAATAAATTACTTTTTTCTATTAGTGCTGATCATACAGCACGTTGTTGGGTTATTGATGTTGGTGATTGTACAAGAATTTATAAA